CATACACTCACACACACAATGGAACCAAACATACACACACACACACACACACACACACACACACACACACACACACACACACACACACACACACACACACACACACACACACACACACACACACAGTGGCCAAAAAAACACACCGTGGAAAAACACACACACACACACAACACACCCATCCAGCTAAGAATGGCCTGTGGACAAACACACAGACCCATCCAACTAAGAATGGCGGGGCTCCCGTGCGCGTCCAGCTATGGCAGGGCCCGTCCGGATAAGGCCAGGGGGCTCAGGGCACGTCCAACCAACGCTGGGGTTGTTTTCGGGCACGTCCGGGGTAAGAGAAGGGACGCAGGACTTCACGAATGGAACGCCGTCTGGCTTGTAGGGCGAGGGGTGCGAAGACCCGTCCGGCGAAGGCCCGGGGGTCCGGGGGCCGTCTGGCGAAAGTCGTGGAGTTCTGGGGCCCGTCTGGCTCATCGGGGAGGGCTCCAAGGCCTGTCTAGCAAGGCCTGCGGGCCCCAGAGCCTGTCTTGCTGAAGCCTGGGGGCTCCAGTGCCCGTCCAGCTCAGGCCCGGGGCTCTGGGGCCCGTCTGACTAAGTCCGCTACCTTCCCCTGTCCTTCAGAGCTCCTCCACATCATTCCCAACTCCCTCGCGCCTTCCCCAGGCCTCTCCCAGCTCCCTCATGTCCGTCCCAACTTCTACATGTTATTTCCATCTTCTCAACGGCCTTCCCAGCTTCCTCACGTCAATCCCATCTCCCCCATATCCAATAAACCTTCCCCACGTCCAAACTAATGCTTCCATGCGACATCCTGTTTCCCCATGGTCGCCAAAATTCCTCCACCTGCTCGCAAATTTCCTGACTCCCGCGCAGCCTGCTACGCCCCGACGCGCAGTCTAGCAACTTCCCCATCGCAGGCCCGCCTCCCTCATGACCTTCCACATCCCCCTTGCGAGTGTGCCCCCAACATCGCTTAATGGCATGTGGGTCACGTCAAGGTATACTTGATCTTGGCGCCTCACATTAGCAGCGCTCGGCGCTCCTCGGGTTCCTCTGTCTTGGTTTCTTGTAATGGCGGCGCCCAGCGTTGCCCTGTTCCCTTGGCATGGTAAGGCCATCCGACAAAGAACTAGTGGATAAGGAACCCAGGGCCAGGGTCTGGAAAACGGCGGGGCTTCCATCGTGGACTGAACACGGATGCCACCGCCACCCCCATCAGAGGAACCCCCCAAGGGCGAGGGCCTTCCAGGAGACCCAAAACGGGAAACATGGGGCAAGGATAGCGGTATGGGTACCTCTCCTCGTCTGAATAGTTGTTCCTTCCTGCCCTCTTCGGGCTCACTGGTCCCAGCTCCTTGCGGCCCCAGTCGGCGGTGCACAAACCTCCCTTTAGTAAACCTCCCTTTCGTGAAAACGGCCTAAGACCGAAACCGACGGACCTGGACCCGCAAAAATGACGGCCGCGACGCCCTCTCGCGAACCGAAAACGGCCAATTCGCTGATCGACGTGTCAGGGTAGGAGGTTTATGAAGGGGCCCCAGGACACACAAATAAATACACACAAATAAAAAGATTCCCCATATTTTATAATATTTTCTGGGTTTTCGTCTTCCCCCCCACTTCCCATATTTTCCCATATTTTCTCGGGAATCGAGGATTAATTGTGTCTGTGTGTTTCTTTCCCTCCTGAATTTATCCAACCCCGACCCATGGGGGCGCCGGCGGACGCGGCGCCCGCCCGGCGGATCGATGGCGAGCTCGAAGAGCCGCCCGTCCAGGATCTCGGCCAGCCTTGGCGGCGCGCCGCTAGGAGCGGGCGGGCGGGGCCCTGCACCATAAATTGGGCTTGTTTTCCACCACCACCACCATAAATTGGAGGGGGAGGGGGTCCTCCTCCTCCACCTCCACCTCCTCCTCGTCCTCGTCCTCCTCCTCCTCGTCCTCGTCCTCCTCCTCCTCCTCCTCCTCCTTCCCCCCTCCAACTCGTGGTGGTGGTGGTGGAAAACAGGCCCATCATGCTCCCCGCGCGGAGGTCGGGGCTCGCGGGCTGGAGGGGGGGGGGGCTGTTGAGCAGGGGCCGGCCGTCCTGGCATTCCCATAGGCCTGCCACGACATGCTCTCAGAACCCAAGGATTTGTCCTGAGAAGGGGTCTCAGAGCATTGTTGGGTAGGCCCCTGGGCACGCCAGGACGCCTTGCCACTGCTTGAGCTGGGCTCGTGGACGGGAGGCACGCCCACACGCACGGCCTCGCGGCACGGCCTCCTCGGCCGCGACTGCCCGTGGATGCGGGGCGGCCTGGCGCGGAGGCCCCGCCCAAGGAGCCTCCGTGGGGTCGCGCAGCCTGGGGGCCGCACCTCGGCGTCCAGGCTGTGAGGGGCCGTGGATCACTATGTTTTTTTCCGCCCCTATGTCACTGTGTCACGTGATCGACCATGGACCCCTCGTGACCCTTCGCTCCCAGGCCATCCTCGGCGGTCTTCGGAAGGGCCCCGGCGGTCTTCTGACGGTCTCCGGCGGTCCTGGGCAATCTCTGGCCGTCTCTGGTGCGAACGCTGGACGGTTGCGTGCAACAAGGGGTCCATGATCGAACACCCAGGGTATGGACAGTCATCGTGCTACCATAGCGAAAACCAGGAAGGAACGAAAGGGGGCTCTTCTGGCCGAGGCGACCCATGGCCACGAACGGGCTCCCCGCCACAGATCTGAGGGACGGCCCGCAAACCATAGCCCCTCTACGGTCGGGCTGCCGAAACAAGGAACGCTAGATAAGGAACGCAGCCCCTCTGTGGCTTCAAAAAAGCCAGGGTGCACGAGAAGGGCTAGAGGAACAACCACGGAAGGACGTAAGGAACATCGAGCCTCTTCCGAATCCAAAGTGTTCCTTTTTTCAGCGTCTTGGCTGTAGGGCCTAACCTAGTGCTTGTGTGGGCGTCTTGAGGAAAAGGGGGAGTCATCAGAAACAAAAGCTTCCGGAGGTCCGCGAGGACCTCAAAGATCGGCGATGGACATCCTTGCGGCGCCTCCAGCGACGTCCCTGGAGCGCTGCGCGCGACAAGGAGGGGGGTAACGATCGCGATGGTCCCAGAAATCCGCACAGACCTCCAACAAATTGTGCTTATTATGTTCTTGCGTCGCTCGCAAACCGCTCCCCTTTTGGTCAGCCGAATTGTCCGGGATAGACCTGGTCTGGGAAAGGCCTCGTATCTTGGGTCCCCAAATCTTCTCCGGGAAATAAGACGGAACGGCTCGGTCCGGAATAACTCTGCCGCAATGGAGCCAGCATCTGCGGCCCACAGACCTGACCCCTTCTGCCCCGTGGACTGGTGGGCAGAATGGTGCCCGGGAAAACTAGATGCTGAGGGCAATCCAGGGCAACTCCGTCGCGAAAACGGGAGGCCCGACTCGGGAGCTCTGCCTGACCAGCCTCTGCCTGGACCACTCGGGACTCTGACTCTCTTGTAGGAAGGCACCAACTATACACCAACACCGATTCTGGCCAGGATCACCCTGGGCCCAGGATCGGTGTATACGCCCTCCTGCCTTGCGCAAGAAGGCATGTACACCGATCCTGGGCCCAGGGTGATCCTGGGCCAGGATCGGTGTTGGTGTATAGTTGGTGCCCTCCGATCTTGGCTGGAGCCGCCGGCCTGTCGCACCCGCAGCGCGCCCAGAGCCCCGGGAAGGCGGACTCGAGCCAGGGGCGGCGCCGCGGCTCCAGGCGGAGGCAGAGCACGCGCACCAGGTCGCGGAACTCGTCGAGCTCCACCTGGGCGGCGAAAAGAACCCGGTCTTGAGGGGGAGGAGGAGGAGGAGGAGGAGGAGGAGGAGGAGGAGGAGGAGGAGGAAAGGGAGGAGGAGGCGCGAGATGGCGCAGCAACCTTACGCCGCGGCTTGCGCGCAGGCCGCCAGCGCCGTACGCTGCAGTGGAGACAAAGGTGCATGCGCGCGACCTTGCGCGGGCAGCTTGCGCGCCAATGTCGGCGCAACCGACCCCCGAGTTTCGGACACCACAACCTCGTCATCTCTTGGGGGCGCATCTTCTGCTCCCGGCCTGCGCGCGCTGCCCCCAACCGATCCCTCGGCGCTCGGCTCACCCATGCGGGCAGCGCTGGTATCAGATTGGGCGCGCTGCTGGAGCAGAAGCCCGACGAAGAGCGAGCATGACTACCTACCAGACCACCCCAACCCAACCCGAAGACCCGAATTTCGGGTTGGGGGGGGTAAGGGTTCCACATGTGTTTTTTCGATGTTTCCCGACCCCCCCCACTGGAAATCGAGGGAAAATCTGAGCCTTCGGGTTGGGTTGGGGTGGTTTGGTGGCTAGTGAAGCAGAGGCAGGCGGGAGCACCTCCGTGCCCCAGCGCCGCCCCTGCGCGCCCTCCAGCAGGAGCACGGCTCTGTGAGGGCGGCCCCCCCTCCCCTGAGGAGGGCAGGAGAGCCGAGCGTCCACGCGTCGGACCAGCGATCGAAACAACTCGGATCGGCGGAGATCGGCAATCAAGCTCGGAGGGGTTGGACCGGCGGAGCTCGAAACGAGTCGGAGGAGTCGAGCTGAGCTCCTGGAGGGTGGAGGCCGCAGCCTCCCCACGCGGCCTCCCGCCGATTCGCATCCCGTGACGGATCAGAGTTGCCGACCTGGCGTTGCCGCGGGAGGGGGGGGGGCAGAGCCTCGCCGCGCGGGCCCAGGGCCGAAGGGGACGAGGAGAAGTGTGCCCCCATGGGGGCGTCTTCTAGGGGTCCCCCGGTGGCCACGACGGGGCGCAGCTCGAGAAGCTCTGGGCTTCGTAAGGGGGGGCAGAATTAAACAGAAGCGTAGGCTTTTCCATGTGCCCCCAAATAGACTCCGAACCGACCCGGAGCCCGAACAAGGATTCCAAAGACGCCGAGAACTGCGAAAAGACTTCGGTTTTGGTTCTTGTAAAGAGAAGGGCTGTGTGGGGAGATGGGGGTCTGGGTTGTGCCCGCGCCCCCGATCCACACGTCCAGATCCGTCCTCGTCCAGCACCTCGAACACCATGGCCCGTCGCGCCTCCACAGGCGCCCAGCGCGACACCCAAATCCGACTGACCAACGGCGAAATCCCACAGGCGACCCAAATCCGACCGACGGCGAACTCGAAGTACGACGCATGGCGAACTCTAAATCAGATAGGACCCAAATCCGACGGACCGAGAGCAGCCTCGGGCGCGGAGGCGCAGCCATCGACCGAACGGGACCGACCGAATGCAACTGACTGCGAGCCACTTCCGACGGCATATGTGTTCCAATGTCGGATCGCTAAAAATCCTTTCCCTTTCCCTGGGACTGGGTTTTCAGACCAAGTCGTTTTTGACAGCCCTGCGGGCCCCCTGATTACGAACACAATGCTAAGCCTAAGTCTCGATACTGTCAAGACGTTGGATGGGGCCGAAACGACCAAGCCGCAGACACAGTTGAGCGACAGAAGAAGGGAGTCTTGCGCGAGATGGCATAGAGACCTTAAGCGGTGGCTTACGCGGGCCGCAAACGTGGCACGCCACATCGGAAACGAGGGCGCTAACGCGGGACCTTATGCGGTTAACTTTCGCGCGAACGTCGGCGCACTTGACCCGTTTTTCTTGCGCCGGCCGTTTGAGAATCCCATCGATCTCTATCCCGGGACCCCTCACAGGGCATATCCGGGCAAGTTCGTCGAGCTGCGCCCAACCGTTGGCCAAGAGAAACAATACTCCAAGACGGCGATCTCGATCGACGACGACGACGACGACGATCGCGGCCTCTGGACCGGATTTCCATCCCAAGCTGATTCCCAATGTCAATCAACCCGCATAACAAGGACGCACGATAAGGGTGCAAGGGCCTCGGAATGCCATGCCAACACTTTGCGAGCGTGGCGCAGACAACGGAAGCGGCCACAGATAGGCCGGAGAAGAAGGATGTAAGGGTAACCTTGGAAAAATGCTCATCCTTACTATGCGGGATGACTGTAGGCTCGCCTAGGAACATGTTTGACTATATTTGAAGCGGCGATGGCTGCGAGGCCTGCGCCTGCAAGCCTTCCACGGTGTTCCTGGGGTTCCTCCGGTCATTATTCCAACCGGTCCCCCGAGTAAACTTGCCTAAGGCCTTTCGCGGGTTCCCCGGCATCCACGGGTCTCCCCAGGCTCCTTGGAATTGCTGTCTCTCTATGATTAAAGCGACGTCAAGCCAAGCCAAGCAGTGCCAAATAACGCAAAATATGACAAGACATGACACGCAATGCCAAGAAGTACGAGCAACGCAAATAAACGACGGGCAGTGCCGCGAAGAAGTGCCAATACATACCAAGCAATGCCAAGCAATGCCAAGCAATGCCAAGCAATCGATGTCAATCAATGCCAAGCAATGCCGCGCATCGCCAAGTATCGCCAGGCAAAACCAAGCAAAATGCCGAACAATACCAGGCAACGCCCGGGCAAGGCCAAGCAAGGCCGAACAATGCAGAGTAACGACGTGGGCTGCCAGCCAATGCCGAGCAATGCCAAGCAAAGCAGAACAGCATACACCCTGCGAAATGCTTAAGAAATCATGGGTTAAGAAATTCATAGTCTCAGAACTGGAATAACAACCCAACATGTCTATTAAAATCTTAGGATTTTCATTGAAACATTAAGAATAATCGAATCTCTGGCCGAAAACGTGGGTTTTCTTAAGCATCGCCTGGAGTGTAATGCCTAACCCTGCGTTGTTACCCCCTTCGGAAACCCTCCCCTCATTGGGGTCGCGCCGGGTTCGTTTGTTGACGCTCCTGGGGCGCCCGAGCACGGACTGCGGAGGCCGAGCGCACGGAGAATCTCCAGCTTCACACCTCGGTCCTCGAACCTCGATCCCCACCTCCTCCTCCTCCTCCTCCTCCTCCTCCTCCTCCTCCTCCTCCTCCTCCTCCCTCCTCCTCCTCCTGCCGCCCTTCTCCTCGTTCTCCTCCTCATCCTCCTCATTCTCCTCCTCCTCCTCCTCCTCCTCCTCCTCCTCCTCCTCCTCCTGCTCCGCCACCCCCAGACCCCACGCCCCCCCCACCCCCCGACATCTCTGGGCACCCCTTGACATCTCCGAAGGTGGGTTCTGGCCAGACTCTCGAAGGGGAATCCTGATGTGGCCACGAAGAGCTTCGCGGAGGCCCACGAAAAGGGCGAAAGACTCCGGGAAACTGATCGACCCTCTGAATTCGACCCGCGATCGCAGACATCCGACGATGAGATTTGTTTCCAAAGCGAGGCCCCAGAGGTCCCGACCTCACCCCCAGGGGCAGTCATTCCGTCTTTCCACCCAGACTCATGTTCGATGGTCCTGGGCGACATGCCGGGGGCCGCGTGCCGCAAGGGGACCAGACAGAAGCGCGCAAGACGCTACTACCGCATCGCGCCCGGCGATCGGGGGGCCCTTGCGTCGTTGATTCGACGATGGGGTCCTTCGGATTGGGGTCTGGAGGACGCGGTGCCTCAAAGAGCGTGAATCCTCCCTTGGACCCCTTCCAGTCCCTAGGCCCCCATCCCTCAGTGGGCCCGCACCAGAAGTCACTCGGGCGGAGGAGGAGGAGGAGGCGGAGGAGGAGGAGGAGGAGGAGGAGGAGGAGGTCACTCTCGCCAGTCTGCCTCGTCGCGCAGGCTCAGGCCGCTGGCCTCCCCCAGGGCGGTCAGCAGCGCGTCCAGGTCTCCGCTCCCGAGCCAGCCCCGGGCGCCCCGGTCCAGGATGCCGAACGCCCTGCCCAGGAGCTGCTCCCTCCGCTCCGCCTGGCGGGGGATTCTCACGAGAGGCCGCGTGGCGCGCACGTGAGCAGTGGCGGGGAGCAGGCGAGCGAGGCCGCACTCCTGCGGCGTGCTTTTGCCAGACGCTTGCCGGCATGGTACCAACCTCTGACCGATGCACATGCACTGAGGAGGAGGAGGGGGAGGAGGAGGAGGAGGAGAAGGAGGAGGAGGAGGAGGAGGAGGAGGAGGAGGGGGAGGAGGAGGAGGAGGAGGAGGAGGAGGAGGAGGAGGGGGGGTGCGCAGCGTGCCCGTGCACCTCGCGCGCCCACACCCGTCTGGGGCGGCCTCGCCGGCGGATCGACAGCGGATCTCGAAGATCGACGCTTGACAGGATCGAGGAGATCGGGGGCCAGAATTGGTGTGCACATGTGCACGTGGCGATGAGCACAATGCTGCTAGGTGAGCATCCAGTTGCAGGTTCGTCCAGTCGTGGCGCTGGCACACAAGAGGACGTCGGGCTGAACCCTCACGACGTATAAAGAACAGTGTCGGCACACTACGCCACACGACGCGAATGAGGAACAATATTGCCCGTGGCGGTGCTCAAAGGTGTGCACGTGTGGTCGGGAACTTGGCCCGTCGCGGCGGCGGGCCCGACGACACGCTACGCCGTGCCAGGGGATCGCGTGTCGCTCCGCTTCGCGGGGCGGGGGGCCGAACAAGGCTCGAGGCGCTGGGGCTTCGCGACTGGGACGAGGACGGCGTGTGGTGCCGAAGCATGGTGGGCCAGAACTGGGGGCGCGGCACACTAAGCCAAATTGCCTGATCGTGTATATGTGCTTTCAAAAATGAGGGCGTGCATATTCATGGAAAGGGATATGTATGTACTTATCAGAGTGAGTGGGCCGAACGGTCATGCAGTCCCTGGGTGCGTGGCTGGAATGGGGATCAGTAGTGGGGATTATGCTTGTTGCGTTTTTGTTTTTTGTTGTCGTCGTCCCACCCGCGACCCATCCCGCGACCCACCCCGCGACCACCCCGCGACCCAACCCGCGACCCCCCCGCAACCCACCGCGCGACCCACCCGCGACCCACCCCGCGACCCACCCGCGACCCACAGCGCGAACCACCCCGCGACCCACCCCGCGACCCACCGCGCGACCCGACCGCGACCCACCCCGCGACCCGACCGCGACCCGACCGCGACCTCCCACATTAGTTTAACTAAAAGATCGGGGCCTGCGGCTGACTCGTTATATAATTTGTGAAACGTTGGTGCTGCGGCGGGCTATTCCAGAGTCTCGAAGAGTGCCGACGTTCCCACCGCCCCCTCACTCTTATCCGCATCTGCGGGGTGCTACGTAAATGCAAATGTGTACATACACCCATGTACGCATATGCAAAACAGGATGTCAGCGTGAGGGGGCCGAACGGTCACATCCACTGTCCCTGGGTGCGTGGCTAAAGTGAGAATCCGTGGTGGAGATGGTGTTTGGTGGTGTTGTTGTTGTTGATGTTGTGGTTGTTGTGGTTGTTGTGGTTGTTGCTGTAGTTGTTGTGGTTGTTGTTGCTGTTGTTGTTGTTGTGGTTGATGTTGTTGTTGTTGTTGTTGTTATTGTTGTTGTCGGTGTTGTTGTTATTGTTGTTGTTGTTGTTGCTTTTGTTTGTTTGTTTGTTTGTTTGTTTGTTGTTGTTGCTGTTGTTGTTGTTGTTGTTGTTGAATTCTCATTTCTGAAGAATAATTATTGTTGATCCCTCCCGGTGCTTACTGCTTTTCTCAAACAAAGTGTGCCCCTCGACGCTCGCACCCTGTTTTTTGACAGGGAAAATCGTCCTGCTCAAACTGGGCCCCTGGCCCCCGGGTTACAACAACAACGGCTCACGCCTGAGACTTCCTTACAATTTAGGCAGGACCCCCGCTCCCGCCCGAGACTTCCTCGAATGTTCTTCAGGAGTCGCGCTTTCGCTTGGGACTTCCTTACGATTTATTCAGGAATCGTTCTCCCGGAGCTCTGGAGTCGCGCTCTCGCTGGAGGCTTGCTTGCAACTTACTGAAGAATAGCCTTGCGTTGGAATTTCCTGCAATTTGCCCAAGCGCCGCGCTCCCGACACCCAGGCACCCAGGAGTCGCGCCCGTTGTGGCCCCAGGTGCATGCCCTTCGTGGCCCCGCTGTCGCCATTTGTGTCCCCCTCATTGTCCTACGTGGCCCAGCTGTTACCCTCAGTGGCCCCATAGTTGCCTTCTTTGGCCCCGCATTATCTGCACTTCGTGGCCCCCGCTCGTTCGCGCTCTTCGTGGCCCCATACGCATTCCCTTCGTGTCCCCGCTGGCGCCCTTCGTGGGCTGCCCTGCTGTCGTTCTCTCTTGCTATCGCTTTAGCTCGTCGTCGTCGTCGTCGCCCTCGTCGTCGTCGTCGCCGTCGTCGTCGTCGTCGCCGTCGTCGTCGTCGTCGATGTCGTCTTCGTCGTCGTCGTCGTCGTCGTCGTCGTCGTCGTCGTCGTCGTCGTCGTCATCGTCGTCGTCGTCGTCGTCGTGGTCGGTCCCCTGTCCGTCCCTCCTGGGGTCGGGTCGACGGTCCGCGGCCGCCCCGCCGATCGGCGCTGCCGCTGGCCAGGCCGACGGTCCGCGGCCGCCCCGCCGCTTGCCAGGACCCGGCCTGCAGGGGAGAACAATTTACCCCCCAAAAGGGGTTCGATCGAAAACGGAAATGGCGGGTATCGAGGGTTTGGGAAATACGCGTTAACCGCGAAGGGTCTTTAATGATGCGTCCACCCCCCGAAGCTCTCGTCGGGGAGTAGAAACTCGTTGTCCTCCTCCTCCTTCTTCTCTCTCCTCCTTCCCCTCCCTCCTCCTCCTCCTCCTCCTCCTCCTCCTCCTCCTCCACCTCTTCCTCCTCCTCCTCCTCCTCCTCCTCCTCCTCCCACTCCTTCCCCCACTGTTCTGGGCTCCGTTTCGTAAACTCGAGGTGGAGGGAGGACGACGACGACGGGAGACGACGACGACGACGACGACGACGACGACGACGACGACGACGACGACGACGACGACGATTCTTGCTCATTCCTCATCCATGCTCTCGCTCGCCGTGCCGTGGGTTGCAGATTCGCTACAATGTTTGGAGTCCTCGACTTGCTCGTGGTGACGAGTATCACAGCGATAGTTATTCTGGACCGTACAGGCGTCATCGGCACTCCAGGTGGCAATCCTGTCCAATCAGGCCTCCTCCTCCGCCTTCTCCTCCTCCTCCTCCTCCTCCTCCTCCTCCTTAGAAGCCACACCGCCGTGCCTGGGTTGCGGGGTCAGAAGCCTCACCGACGTACCTCGGCTGTGGGCCAGAAGCATCACCGCCGTGCCTGGATTGGGTCCGAAGCCTCGCCGACGTGCCTGGGCTGTGGCTGAAAGACCTGGCCGCCGTGCCTGGGTTGTGCGTCAGACGCCTCGCCGCGGTTGTGGGTAGTGTGTCATAGAACGCACCGCCGTGCCTGGGTCGTGGGTGAAGACCCCACCGTTGTGCCTGAGTTGTGGTTCACAAGCCTCACCGCCTTGCCTGGGTTCTGGGCCACAAGCCTCCCCCAGATCTGGGCGCTGCGAAACAAAAAACACGACTGGAAGGTTTCCTGACGTTTCGGCATCCGGGAGCCTCCGGAGGGCCCCAGAACCTTGGCTGTAGGTCAACAGCGTCACCGCCGTGCCTGGGTTGCGGGGTCAGAAATCTCGTCTTCGTCGTCTTCGTTGTATTAGTCGTCTTCGTCGTTGTCTTCGTCGTCGTCGGTGTCGTCCTCGCCGTCGCGGGGGGATTATTTTCCCACTATTGTGGGCCGTGGTGGAAATTGTTGGGCGGTTACTTTTCCCGGTTGAGGATGTCTCCTGGGCTACTGTGCACGCGGGAGGAATGTCGAGCATGTTCGTAAAAAAAGGCGTGTAATTTGCAATAGAAGTCGATGCACATCCAATCGACTCCTCGAGTCGTCTTCGTCGTCGTCGTCTTCGTCCTCGTCGTCTTCGTCGTCGTCCTCGTCGCCGCCGTCGTCGTCGTCGTCGTCTTCGTGGTCGTCTTCACCGCCGCAGGGGTATTAGTTTCCCACTCTTGTCGGCCGTGCTGGATATTGTTGGGCGGTTATTTCTCTCAGTTGCGAATGCATCCTGGGCTACTCACTCTGCACGCGGGAGGAATAACGAGCATTTTCGCAAAAGGCTTGCAATAGAAGTCGACGCACATCCTATCGACTCCTCGAGTCGTTTTCGTCGTCGTCGTCTTCGTGGTCGTCGCCGTCTTCGCCGCCGATGCATGTTCGCACGTGCGCAGCAGTTGCGGTGGCGGCGTGTAGGGGAGGCGGAGGGGGGGAGGAGGAGGAGGAGGCCGCCTGGCGTTGAACGTTGAGATGTTTAATCATTGCTCTTAGCCTCTCAAACCTCCGCCGCCAAAAAGAATTAATTTCCAACAATTGTTGGGATCCCAATCCGTCAATAATCCCACCGGAAATGAATAATTGTCCCATTATTGCCCGGGGGTTTATTGAAGCCCCCTCTCGGTTACAGGACACTCGAGCAGATAAGAACGAACAATACTAAAATGATTGTTGCTGTTGTTGTTGTTATTGTTATTGTTATTGTTGTTGTTGTTGTTGTTGTTGTTGTTGTTGTTGTTGTTGTTTTTGATTGTTGTCGTCGTCCCACCCGCGACCCACCCGCGACCCACCCCGCGACCAACCCCGCGACCCACCCCGCGACCCACCCGCGACCCCACCCGCGGCCCATCCGCGACCCATCCGCGGCCCACCCGCGACCTACCCGCGACCCGCCCGCGACCCACCCGCGACCCGGCCCGCGACCCACCAGCGACCCACCGTCGACCCACCTGCGACCCAACCCGTTTCCCACCTACATTGCTTCAACAATAAAATCGGCGCCTGCTGCGGGCTCGTTTTCTAGCTTGAAAAATTCCGCGCCTGCGGCAGGCTTCTCCAGAGCCTCGCAGACTGCCGACGTACCCGCTGCCCCCTCACTCTCATCCGCAATTGCGGGGTGCTACGGTATACATCCCGGCGTTGCCTTATCGATCTCACCGATACCTGGGACCGTGAGTACAGAAGGCAGCTTCCCAGACAAGCAAACTGCCCCTGGGGAAGGGGTCGGGACCTTTGGGGCCTCACATGGGGGGACAGCACACTGCAGGACGCTTCGGCCTGAGGATTGAGCAATGCTGGTACTCTGCTCTGTGCGCAACGTTCGAAGCCTCTGCGAGGCTCCTCGCAGTGGGCGCTTAAGGACATGAGCACAGTACGTGCCTATGTTGGAGCCGCACGTCCGAACCGAACATCGAATACAACATCGGGCGTCTGGCCAGAAGGCGCACGAGGAGGCGTCTGCGGATGGACTCTCGACCCCCAGACCCAGACATCCAACGTCTGCAGGAGGGGAGCGGGAAAGCGTGCTCGGCGCCTCAAAGATGCGGCCCCTGGGAAAGTGGGCCCTGGGAAAAGGAGGCCCCGACAATTCTTGAAGTCGGCCCGGACGCCATGTCCTATCCTTGGGGCCCCATCCCTGAGGGCCAGAATCAAGACCTCTGCTTTTGAGGTGTGCAGCCTCTGGGGCCCTCGCCGGGCGCTGAGGCCGTCAACAGAATGGTCAGGATGAAAAGCCGACCCCAGGCGCCCCGCGGTGAGCAACTCAAGACATCGGGTGTCTCGGACAAGACATCTCTGGACCGATCCATGAATCACGAGAGAACAAAAACAGGACATGCAGTCTCTCCGGGGCCCTCGCCTACTTTCGCCGCCTGCTGGTCTTCCGCCCGCGGGTCAGCCGTCTATGTAGCTTCCGCTCGCTTCCGCAGGTCAAGAGATGCCAACTCCTCGACCCCTCGAGGTTCGGCCATTTCTGGAACGCCCCAGGTGCTCCTGGGAATACGTGTTCGACGTCGGCGGAGGGGGGGAGCCAGAGGGCTTCGGGACCCAGGGCCCCAAACCAGGCAGAATTCGGAGCCTCCCCGCAGCCCCGACCCAAGCATCCCGGGCATGCCAGAGTCGGGCCGACATCTTGCTCAGAGCACGCATACTCTGGATGGTGCTGGCGAGGCCCAACCACGCCGCCCCGAAAGCCCGTTCTGGCCCCCCACGGTCGGCGACCCCACCCTCCACTCGACCCAGTCCCACCGCGCAGCCCGCAAAACATTCCGCTCATACCGCCCAACCCCCCGCGACCCGACCCCCCCCTTGCGCACAGCTGATTGGACAACCTTGCGAAAGCATCAACTTCGGACGTCCGCGGACGGCGCTGAAGGGGAACTAACAAGGGGGGGAGACTGGCCCAGGGGGTGTCGCCGACGGATCGGCGAGGCCCTCGATTGCGAAACCTCACGCTCCAGACGGACTCTCGGGCACCCAGGCCTCGAGTGACGATGCATGGGCTGGGCCAGTCCCCCCCCTGTCGGGGTGCCTGACGCACTGGGCTCCCTCCCCACGCCCCTACCCGGGCGCGCGAGGACCAGGGGCGCGACATCTGCCGCCTGGGCCTTCGAGGCTCTTTGTCCTCCCCTGACACGGTTGCGTGCACCGAGGAGCTCTTACGTAGTTGTCTTCACGGGGAACGAGTTGCGGATTCTGGATCGGTTGGTCGGTGAAGCCCGTTGCCAGCCTCGGGGATGGACAGACCCCTCTTTAGTAAAACGTGGTTTAGTGAAAACGACCTGAGGCCCAAACCTGGCGGGCGCAAGCCTGGAAAATAACGGCCACGGCGCCATCTCGAGAACCGAAAACGGACAATTCACTAATCGACGTGTCACTGTTGGGGGCTCTGTCCACCCCCGACAGCCCTACGACGCCCCGTCGCTGGCTGCGGTTTCGGGATCTTCGGCGGCTGCCGCCCCATCTCTGGGCCGCAACCCCGTTGCCGCCCGGGGCAGTGCGTGTCATACGCTGCAGCACGCTGTGGTTCCTTGCCTCGCGATACTTTCATTGTGTTACACTGCTTTACGTTTCTCCCCTTCGCATGGGTGAGTACTGCTTTGCGCTGCGCCACGCAAGCTGTACTAACTCTCTGGGAGGTCCACGCTGGTGTCGGTGTAATGATTGCTTGTCTGGCCTCCGAGCCTGTAACTTCAGGTCGGCCTCCCGCTGCCGAATGTAGCTGTTGTAAACCACGGCGATGACCATCTGGAGGAGGAGGAATAGGCCGACGACTAAATACACCACGAAGAAGATGCCGTAGGCTCGACTCGCCGTGTACCCCGGAATGAAGACGTCTGGGCAGTTGTTGGTGGCGAGCAGCGCCATCAGATGCCACAGGGACTTGCCGAAGTCTGGGAACTGCTCCCCCTCGGGGCCGTCGATGACGAAGAGCACGGCGCCGAACCACGCCGAGAGCAGCATGAAGACCACCAGCAGCAGCAACACCTTTGAACATCGTTTGACCGATCCCTATCCCCACTGGCGTGGCCTTGGCCCCAATGGCCATCTTACCCACCTGGGCGGGGATTTCTATGACAATTCCTTCGGGTTTCGCGCGGCCTATTCCCACCTGGAAGGGTGGCCTGGTGGGTACTGGTGGAGTGTGGACGGGGAGGCGATGCGGAAGGTTGGAGGCGGCTGGGGGGTCTGAACAGGACGGGCCTCGAGAAAATCGAACAGAAAGGGGAGATAAGGGCAAAGCCGCTCAACATCGGTCCCCGCACACCTCCTGGGGTCTCTCTGGTGCAGTCTTCCACCCCAGACTCGATTCGGATCGCGCCCCCGAAAACGGCCCCCCGAGGCCGAAGAAGCAAAGAACCTTCTCGGACCCATAACCTCGAATCGCTCCAGCGATTCGGAACCTTGGTCCAGTCAGGATGGGGACAGGCCGGCTACACGCAGGAGTCACCCCGGGCAAGAAGGACCTCTGGTTTGCTGGTTTCGGGGGACGCGGGGGAGCCACGCCTGAGTGCACAAGCCGCTGCTATCGCATCGCATGAGCCATCTGGGGACCTGGTGCGCCCGCACCAGAGGTTCCTCCTGCGCAAAGTCGCTCTTGCGTGTAGCCGAGCAAGTTGGGCGATGCCGATCCTTGAGGAACTCCGGCATGATGTGCATGCATCGGCGGCGAACGAGGGGCGGAAATGAGAAGGAGAAAGCCACCTCGGAAGGCGGCGGGGCTTCTCCGAAGCCCTCTCGCCTCCTCAGAAGTTCTCCATGCCTCCACAGAGGGCTCAGAAGACTTCTGGGAAGGCTGGGGGACTGCCGAGCCTTCTGAGCAGCCCTTCTTCGGACGCGGCCTAACCGCCCCCTAGCAAACCATCCCCCTGCCGTGATTTGATTTACGCCATTCTAGTTTCCCTCCAGCCGCATGCATACGTCTTGGGGCGAGGCGAGGGAGACGTCACGGAAGGGGATGGTTTGCTAGAAGTCGGTTAGGCCGCCCCTGACTTCTCCTTCTCGCTTCCCCCACCCTCCCTCGCTCGCCGCCGAATGCAGCTGACGACCTCCCTGCGCAGCACGGCGTCGCCGGACAGCAGGAAGAAGACGCGCAGGTAGGGCAGCAGGCGCCAGCCGCACCGCTGCAGGCGGCCCGCGGCCACCAGCAGGTCCACCAGGGCGGCCACCAGGGCAACGCTCTGGGCTCAGAGGGAAAAACAGCTGCACAAACATAATCTTCCGTACAGTCGAGCTTGATTGGAGAGGACACGCGAGAGGACACAAGACCCTTTCGAGGGTCGCATTACCACAGGAATGTAGAAGGCATGGGTCGCGAGACACAGGACACAAGGGAACCCTTGAGTTGGCAGGGTCGACCTACTAATCAGGGCCGACTGTAGCTGGGGCTGTGTCAACCCCTATCCCCGACTGTGTGGGGCCCTTCGTGCGGGCAAACGGCATTGGGGGGCCGAACTCGGGGATACACACCGCTCCCCGAACGCGTAATACCAGAAGGCATTTCTCCTCTCTTCTGGGCGGCCTGTTCTTTAGTGGGGGAACGCTGTGACTGGCACCGCAAGCTCGCCTGTGATTTCCGAGGTCCGTGCGGATCTCTTGCATCTGCGCTGAGCCCCCCTCCCTGGCGCGAGGAGCGCGCTCGGGGGCGGGGTCGGAGGCGCCGCCAAGCGGGTCCAGCGCCGATCCGGGTAATCCGGAGGCCTCCGAAAGTTTATGCTCATGCAGTTTTTTCTTCCTCGATGGGCGGCGTGCCAGCGGGACGCCTTCCAGGTCATGCACGGCGACGGCGACATCAAAACCAAAAACCGACCGAACCGACAGCGAAAGCCAAACCGATCGAAATCGACAAACCGCATGCAAGCCAGAAAGGCGAAGCGAAACGGCAACGGCAACTCACGAGACCGAACCGACTGCACCCACTGCGACGCAACCGACCGAACCGCGAACACCCTTGGCCTTCAAGAAACCCGCGCCGTGAACCACCCGCATCAAGGCCAGGTCGCACGCCAGGACGGCCACGACGACCGTGTCCACGGCCGCCGCCTCTGCGCAACTCAGCAAGTCCCAGCCGTACGTGAAATAGGCGGGGTCGCGGCACCTCGTCGCGTCCTTCGAGCCGCACCACCGGGGCGTCTCCAAGAACGTCACGGCAACGATCGCGCAACGCACGAGGGGGCGTAGTCGGTTGAGCCGCAGGCGCGCCCTGTGCGCGCGCAGCGAGGCCCTCGTCCTTGCGGGCGAGATTTGTGTCCATACCCACGGCGTCTATCGTCTTTGGGCACGCTACACAACCGAGCACACCATGAAGATGTGTCCGTAAGGTATACCATGGGACCCCAATAAGTGGATGGTTTTCGCTGAGGAGGTCGACCGGGAACCCAAAAGCCCCAGGAACCCAGAACCCACCGAAATCGGCCTGGAACGAATGACCGGAACCCCGGAACCCAGCCTGCTACCAAAATCGGCGGGAAACTTTCGCCAAGCCTTTCAACTTCCGCCAGGACCCATTCAGTGCAAGCACTGGTTGGGAAACGGGGGAGCCCGAAAAACCAAGACGCAGCGGATATGGACAGAAGCCTTGGGCGCAGTCCTGCCGCTGTCCAGCGCCGCCGCCCCGCCCTCCAGGTGCGCGGTGTCGAGGACCTCCGCGGCCAGCGCCTTGCGCACCAGCAGCGCCGCCAGCTGCGCGCCCTCACCCCCGTGGCGCTGGCCGCCCTCCATGGCAAGGGCAGAAGCGGGGAAAGGGGTACGCCGAAGGCATGCACTTATACATATTTACATACTTAACTATAGAAGCAGCGATCAACACATATATATATATACACATGTAGATATGCACATGCCCATGCATACGTTCATATACATACACACTTGTCTATATACAAATGTATGCAAACATAATTTCAAATATTACACATATGTATCTCTCTCTATCTATATATGTATGTAGGTGTGCGTGTGTGTGGGTGTCTGTGTGTGTGTGTGTCTGTGTATATGTGTGTGGACGGCAAGTTCGTGTCGTGCGGACTTCGACGCTGGTTTCTGACGCCGTGTGGATCGTTCAATCTTGAGCGATCGCGGCTTCCCGATAGCGGGCGATTATTCTAAACCCCTGGCGGCACTCAACCTTGAGCGCCCGCGCTGGGGTCGCCGCCGCGTCGGCACGACAAGAACCTACCATACGACATCAGCGTGCCTAACCAGGGCCATCCTGCTACCAGGTATCGGTGAGACGCCTCCTGGCCGAGGCCCAGAAGGTTTATACACTTTGCTGCACAGTAAGGCCCAGGGTGGCCCTGGCCAGGCACGGTGGTGGTATACAGATGCCTTCTGCGGACTAGAGTGTGGGGGGGGGGTCGGGGAAGCCCGATCGAGCACGGGGCGCAACCGAGCCAGGGCTGCGGATCGGACTTGCTCGCTCAGGCGCGCCCGAGAGCAACGTCACTCAGGGCATGCCCCCAAGAGCAACGTCCAGCATGGCATGTCCCCAAGCCATTCCTGGCATCGCCCTGGCCGCAAGACCGTCATGTTTTTTCGTTTTCGTGTTGCTTTCGTTTTCCCTCGCTTTTTCTTCAACCCGCCTCTGCGGCAAAACGGAATCGAAACGAAAACGGCTCATGACATCGCCAAAACACGGTTTAGGTCGACTCCTGCCGAAAAGAGACCCCAAAAGGCCTGTGAGACGCATCTTGTCCGCCGCGACCCAAGCGCGGCGGGATGGGCCGAAAGCCACTCGATCCGCCGCCCACTGCTGGCTTGCCATAAGGGTGCCTGGCGTGCTAACATCTAATGCGGTTTGGTTTTGGCCTGTGCTCCCGAATGACTCCCCCTACCCCCCCCTGGGGCTTCGGCCCGTCCCGCCGGCCACCCAGAAGGGACCAGACACGAGCACAACGTGCGCAAAAAGCCCCCTGAGACGGCCCAACATGGCCTCCAAGACGGCCAAGATGGCCACCAAGTTCGCCATAGATGGTCCAATCTGGCCTCGAAGACTGCCCAGGAGAGTCCAAGATGCCTCCAAGTTTGTCCCAGAAGCCTGCAAGACGGCCCCAGACGGCCCCAGATGCCTTCAAGGAAGTCCAATAGGTCTCCAAGACGGCCCACAAGACCTCCCTCCAGGAAGACCCAAAGAGGCCAAAATCATTGACTGTCCTTAAGTTTGTTTAAACCGATTTTGGCAGTTGCTTCTGTTCGGACATCCGACGGCCCGAGACGGCCCAAGAGCCCCAAAAGATCGCCCCACGATCGCCCAAGAGGCCTCAAGGATGGCCCCAGAACGGCCCAAGAGGCCCCCGAGACGGCCCCAAGGAGGCCCCAAGACGGCCCGAGAGACCTCCAAGACACCCAAGATGGCCTGACGGCCTCCGAGATGGCCCTGGAGCACCCCGAGAGGGCCCCAGGGCAGCCCGGAGAGGCCCCCAAGGCGGCTTCCGACGACGTCAGCCGGGCCAGGAACGCCAGGCTGGGGCTCTCGGGCTCCTATGGGCGACGACCAGGCGGTGGGGTGTCGACGCGCTCCCGCCTGAGCCTGCCCCCCTCCCTCCTGACCCCTACAGTCGGCCTTGACTGGGCAGGACGCGCGAGAGGACACAAGACCCTTCCGAGGGCCACATCGCCATAGGAGCGTAAGAAGGCACGTGCCGCGAGGCACAGGACACAAGGGTGCCCTTGAGCTGGCAGGGTCGACCTACTAATCCGGGCGGACTGTATCACTGCCCCTGAGATCAGCTCCGCCTCCCAGAGAAAGACTCGGCGGTGCGAAAAGTGTCTCCCTCCGACGTCACCATATGAGGAGGGATGGATGCGGGGACCATCGCGGCGTCCTGAAAGCATCGCAGCATCGCGAATTGATCACGACGGGAGCTCTGGGCCTCACCTTTTCTGCTGCATTCTCCGAGCCCGATCGATATGTGAAAGTCCTGGAACTCAAAACGGTACGAAAACGTCCACGGTAAACAAATTGCAACGCCCAGATCTCACGACGTGTTTGAGCCAGGGAGCCCGACCCTGGGCGGAGAAATGCCAGGCGTGCATTCGCCGGCCCAACGGGCCAGGGCGTGCTAGGATCTCCGGCACCTGGTTAACAGTAGTTCTAGTTCGCGCGCGCGGGGCGGCCCCTGGGGGTCCCCGGACGAAAAGTACACCCTGCGAAATGCTTTAGAAATCATGGGTTAAGAAATTCATAGTCTCAGAATTCGAATAAAAACCCAGAATGTCTAGTCAAATCTTAGGATCTACATTGAAACATTAAGAATAATCGAGACTCTGGCTAAAAACTTGGGTTTCTTAAGCATCGCCTAGAGTGTACCCCGGCAAGGCCCCGGCGAGGTCGGGTCAGAGCTGCCGGAGTTCTGCTTCGGAGTCCAAGAGGGCTCCAGATCGGTCCAAGAGGGCCCCGAGAAGCTCTCTAGACGGTCCAAGAGAGGCCCGAGACGGCCAAAGATCGCCCGAAGACGCCCCAGATGGCCCCAAGACAGCCCAAGAGGCCTCCAAGACGCTCCAAGGGCCTTCCAAGAGGCCTCCGAAGAGGGCCCCAAGTTGCCAAAATCGTTGATTTTCATTGTTTTTTCTATGTTTTTTTGCGTTCTGGCCTTTTCGCTTCCGGACGCTCCAAGAGGGCCCAAGAGGCCTTCAAGACTGCTCCAAGACGGCCCACGAGGCTCCCAAGACGGCCCCGGAGCGGCCCAAGAGCGCCCCCCAGACGGCCCAAGTGCTGCCCAAGGCGGACCAAGAGGCCCCAAGACGGGCCCAAGAGGGGCTCAAGAAGGGAACCGAGAACTGAAAAATCGAGCCCTCCGCCCCAGAAGGCGCCCAGGACCCCGAAAGAGGCCCCAAGAGACTCTCCAAGACACCCCCAAGACGCCCCAATAAGCTCCCGTGAGGCCCCAAGAGGACCAACAAATACCGCCAAGAGCCCGCCGAAAGCCCCCCAAGAGACCGTCACGAGAGCTCAGGAGGCCCCCTGGAGGCCTCCCGAGTTCTCCAAGAGGCCTAAAAAGAGGCGCCAAGAGGCCCCAAACGGCCCCACCGAGGCTCCAAGAGGCCACGAACGCGCAAGCAAACGCCTGCGATGGCACAATACGGGCCGGCGGAATGAGCGAAGCGATGAAATAAGATACCGCGGCACCCAGACTTCAGTGAACGGTTAGGAAAAATTAGCCATGACGAAGAATGACCGTGGCAACCTCGTGCCGATCTTGCGGTCACCGTCCATCTTGATCAAGGTCCATTCGTGGATCACCTCATGATTCGGCGACGGCGGCCGGCATGGACCATGACCAAGATCGGCGTCGACAGAGTCCCGCGAATCAGGATCATTGTCAATGCATTTCTCTCCTGGAGCGATTTCATGTCGTCTGTCCAAAACGGGGCTCTGACCACATCCCCGGGGTTTTGCGCGGTGCTCCCCCCTGGATCCTCCAAGACTCCCGAACGCGTCCGGGGACGTCCAGAAACCTCCGCGATCCTCAGGAGGAGCTGGCGACCCCTGCAGTGGCGGCCCCCTATGTTTTCAAGGCGCGGCCCAGGAGTCCTGACCTCTCCACACGGGGTCAGTCGTCGCCCTGGGGTATGTCTGTTGTTTGTGCCCCTCGTCCTGCGCTCATGCCCGACGGCCGCGTGGCCTGACAACGGGTGCCGAAACCGAGGAAGAGCGCCAGGACTCCCCTGAGTGCGTCGTCCGAGATCCAGGTCCAGCGCCCGCGTCCATGATCTGCCCCCCCCCCCCTCGAGGCTGGGACGCCTGTGCGATGACCCCAGGTAAGAGTGGTCCTTGGTGCGCAGCCTGAGGGGGCACGGCGGGGCCGAACCTGAGCGCGCGCGAAGCTACTACCGTCGCAGCGCATGCCGCGGTCGGGGCCAGCAACAGGCCCGCACCCAAGGGTCCCTCCAGCAAGTCTTTTCGGTGGCAACTCATGGGGGCCTCCCATGCCATCTTGCTGGTTCTTGTGAATCGATGCTGGCCGACGCTGATAAACGCCAATCGACGCAAGCCGGCGCCAATCGACGCTTCCCCTGCATCGATTACCACACGCTAACGTGCGCGAGAGCACCCCAAAGACGGGATTCCGAGACCATCCAGGGCTCCCATGATCTGCGGCCGAGCAATGCACACGTCGTTTGTTTCTGATCGTGCTCAGTTCTAGTTAGTTGTGCTCGTTTCTAATTGTTCCTGGCCCCCTAGTGGCCAGGAAGAGGCCCAAGATAGAACAATTAGAAATGCAAGGATCTTGCCCCCCCAAAAAATCAAAGAACTCTCGAAGAATTAGAAATGAACAGTGTGTAGCCCCGCCGGGCGGCTGCGGACGGCGGCGCGCCCCGGGTCGGAAGGCAGGGGGGGGGGGGGCTGGTCTTCCCACAGGGCGGCAACCCGACGCCTCTCGACGGCGCCTTCCGAGAGGCCGGCTGTGGCTTCGGAGAGGGCTCAGAAGGCTTCGCTCTAAGGAGGGAGGCCCACTGACAAGCTCCGTCACACCTTCTGAGGAGGCTTAGCCCCGATCTGCCTCTCCCCCTGGCGACCTCGGCGACGCACTGGCGGCGTTGGCGTGGAGAAAATCGGACCCCACATCGAGCTGCATCGCCAGTCCATCGGCGACGCGGCGATCCTCCGAACCCATGCCTTGGCACGCCCACATTGAATACGGACCCAAAAAATCTGCGGCCGCAATTGTTCAGGCGAGCCTGCCTCAAACGGGCAGCGCCCGCGACAACACACACACACACACACACACCGAATCCTGTTCATAATGAACGGGAGCTGCTGCCGGTCTTCCTGCCTATCTGTGTATACCCATGTCAATCGTTATGAGCATCTATTCGGACCACAGCTGAATGGCCTCCAGCATGTGCCGCTGATCCAGGGCGCTCCTGGTGGTTGACGGCCGCGACCGAGTAGCGAGAAGCGAAGGTTTGACATGCGAGGTGTTCGGAGGTCTTCGTTGGTTCAGAGTCCAGCGATTTGCCTTGGAAGCCTTTCGGTGCCTCTTGGGATCTTTTGGGGGTCATCTTGGGGTCTAGGGGCGCCTCGGGAGCCTCTTGGGGACTTCGAGAGTTATCTCGGGGTTAAGAGCTCGAAGGGTCACTTCGATTTCCCCTCTTGGGTCCCTCTTTGGGGCCCCCTTGCGGCTGCCTTGGGGCCATAATGGGACCCCTTGGGCCGTCTTGGGGCCCTTTCCCCATTCTGGCGAGGCCTGGAAGAGGCCACTCCGACAAATCTGCTTGTATCTAGGGGCCGCACAATTGGGTCCGAATAGGTGGGGTCGGAGGATTGCACTGCATCGGAGATGCATCATCGGCGACGCTGGCGGTGTATCGGCGACGCTGGTGTGGAGAAACTATGGATCCACATCGAGCCGCATCGTCGATGCATCGTCGATGCGTCCGACCCCATGTGCTTCGACACCATCCAGGAGACCTAGACCATCTCCAGCCCCTATCCCCCAGAGGCCTTGGGCGCGAGTTAATGGGTGGCGATACCATGGCGGGAGGAGAGTGGTGCCGCTTTCGGGCCCTGCAGGCTTCCTCCCAAGCCCTACAGGGCCCCTCTAGGCGCCCTCTCAACCGATCGTCCCCTCCCAACTCAGTGCCCCCTCCCAACTCATCGCCCCCAAAGGGCCCCTCTAGGGGCCCTCAGCCCTCGCTGCCCTCCCAACTCATCGCCCTCCCCATGGAAGCGCCAAAAGGGCCGCGCGCGCCTGCGCATCCGGGGCCTGAAGCGGGCGCTTCTTGCAGGCGTCGGGGTGCGCGGGCGGCGCCGCCGCGGGGGCGCAGCCCGCGCGGTCCTCCAGGGAAGAGGGGGGGCGGGGGCGCCGAGGGAGAGCCGTCGAGGACCTCGAGGAGGAAAACTCTTCCCCCGAAACACAAGCACACAAACACACACAAACACACACACACACACCTACACACATACACACTTTTTGGGGTCGGCGGCTAGGCAGAGTGACTGCGCTGGAAGAACACGCCTACACTCCCGCACACACACACACACACACACACACACACACACACACACACACACACACACACACACACACACACACACACACACACACACACACACACACACACGCACACGCACACACACACGCACCCCCCCACCCACACACACACACAACACACACACACACACGCACGCACGCACGCACGCACGCACGCACGCACGCACGCAGACACGCACACACGCACGCACGCACGCACGCACGCAGACACGCACACACGCACGCACGCGCGCGCGCACGCACGCACGCACGCACGCACGCACACACGCACACACACACGCACACGCACACGCACACACGCACACACACACACACACGCACACGCGCACACGCACACGCACACGCACACGCACACGCACACACACACACACACACACGCACACACGCACACGCGCACACACACACGCACATACACACACATACACACACGCACAAACGCAAACACACACACACACACACGCACACACGCACACACACACACACACACACGCGGTCGCGGCCCCACGCGCAGCGACGAGGCGGAGTAAGGCTTTGGGTCGGCTTTGGGCACTGGCGGCCCTTGCGTCCTATGGAAAGTGTCGAGGCTTGCGGGACCCAATGTCGCTTACAGTGAGGGCCGCATGCCAGGGGAAGGCCTGCGCCAGAGGACGCCCATAATCGGGACACCTGCACCAACGCGTCGGCGACCGCCCAGCCAGCCACTGGGGGCCAGAGAGCCCGCCTTCCAGAATGGAGGGCGCGGGGCCCAGCGGGTCTTGGGGAAACCAAGAGGCACCGATACCGCTACTCCCCGGATCCCTCCTGGGGTGCGCTCTGACCCGAATGTCGGAGCCAATCCGGCCGTGGAGACGAGGGCCTTCCAGGAGGCCTCCAGAAAAGGGAAGCCAGGGGAAAGGCAGCGGCGTGGGCACCCTTTTCCTCCTCTGAGGCCTGGCCCCCGGGGGCAGGGTGCGCGCAGGGGCGCCGCGGCTCGTCGCAGCCCATCCATCGGCGGCGAGCGAGGGGGGGGGCAGTGAGGAGGGGAAGGCCGTCTCCTTCTCACTCCCGCCCCGGGCTCGCCGCCGAGTCCAGGCTCGCAGGAGGGGCCAGAAACGAGGGAGCCGCTGCTCCTCGTCGCCACGGCCGGGCCTTCGAGGTTCGAGCACCGAAGGTCTGGGATGTGCTCTCCTGCTCGTGGGCACCAGGGGGGGGGGGCTTCTCGTCGCCACGGCCGGGTGCCCCGCGAAAGCCTGGCCAGAACGCACGCCTGGACAGGTCCGCGGCCCTGGGCAGGTCGAGGAGGACGGCGCAGACCGCAGACTCGCGGGCCAGCGCCAGGAGGACGACGCAGACCCACCCGTGCCAGCAGAGACGGGCAAAGCACGAGCCTGAGAGCATACTCTTTCGTCAGCAGTTTGAAGCCGCTTGCAGTCCCGAGGACCTGCCAAACACGACTCAGAGGGCTGGTGCCCAAAGTCTGAACAAGAAGAAAGAGGCCGAGAAAGAAAGGGACAGCGAGAGAGAGAAAGCGAGAAACAGAGACAATATGTGCCTGAGATCTGGGTCTGGACCTTACTGGATCTTAGAAATCATGGAGCCGTTCTTTGTCGGCTTTCGCTTAGCAAATGGCTTCCCAATTCAAACGCCGTTTTTTATCTGGCCCCGTGGCCGTTGTTATTCCGGTACTGGCACCAATTTCAATGATGAAACCGTTTCGTCCCCGTTTCGGCAAACCGCGGTCCACCTGGCATCCGAGGAACCTGCGAGATGACTTCTGCGAGGACTTCGTCAGTCAGCTTATCCAAGCCAACTTTGATGTCCGCAACCTCTGCTGGAATAGAGGCACCCTTGTCAACTGGCAAAACCCCTGGGACTAAGAGATGGAACAAAAAAGAGCATTGCTGCAAAGAGGAAAGGCCCCGCCACCCATGGCAAAGGCAAGAGGCCTGCCGACTCCACCTGGCCCAATAAGAAGGCGTTTCCTTATGTTCGGCGATGACGGGCGTCATGGGGGGGGGGGAAGGCGGGGGGGGAGAATGACATGACGCCCCCCCCCCCTGCCGTGTGGCTCCGGCACCACAGCCGCGCTCGCACGCACGACGCGACGAGCGACGAGCGACGAGCGACGACGACGACGCGAGCAGCATGTAAGTGGCGATCTGCCCATTGCGCCTGTGTACACCACAACGCTCGCGTGCACCACACCGCGCGCGTGCACCACAGCGCCTGCGTACACCGCAACAGCCGTGTGCAACGCATCGCCCGCGTATGCCACAATACTTGGGTGCACTACAGCGCCAGTGTACATACACCGCAGCAGCCGTGTGCAACAAAACGCCTGTGTACACCACAGTGGTTGCGTGCACCGCAGCGCCTGTGCACGCCACAGCGCCTGTCTACATCACAGCATCCGCGTGCAACGCAGCGCTGGTGTTCACCACAGCGCCTGCGTGCATAGGACAGGTAGAACGAGCATGTACGTCAGGATCTGATGCGGACAACTAAACGCCAAGCCAAGAAAATTCTGATAATCGGGTGCGACGATTTTCCCTCCTCCCTCCTCCTCCACCTCCTCCTCCTCCTTCTCCTCCTCCTCCTCGTCCTCCTCGTCCTCTTTCTTACCCCCTGTCGTGCGGCTTGGCGTTACAACGCACGTGCGCATCTCAGCGTGCACCGCAGAATGGTCGATTGAATCGGTCCACTTGGTTCTTCGACGGCCAGTTTAGGTGGAGCCTCCTGGACGCCAAATGGGAGTTAGGGTGATGCGGGCGGACTCGGGGGGACTAGTAGATTCCAGCGGCGCCCTTTTGTCCATGAGGATTTGTTTTCCATTGTTTTCTCTGGAATCCACACGCGCTCCATTTTGTCACAAAGATTCCTTCTGAATTCCTATACACAACAATGGTGCTGTGTTGCACACGGCTGATGTGGTGCACATAGGCGCCGTGGCGTACACAGGCACTGCAATGCACGCAGGCATTGTGGTGTACACTGGTGCTGTGTTGCGCACGGCTGCTGTGGTGTACGGAAGCGCTGTGGTGTACACAGGAGCTGCTGTGCCCGCAGGCACGGTGGCA